AATCTAGAAACCATCAGGGCCCATGTGTCCAAATGTCAAATAGTCTAAGAGTAAGCAATATACAATTTAACCAGGTTCTGACTCTGGGAAGAGAAGTTCCAAGTCAGGAAACACTGAAACATTACTAAGAAACATTGTATCTCTCGCTAATAAATGGTAACTTTGTGACAGGAAATAAAATTGTACACACTCAGATTTGGTGCAGCCTGGGAAGCACTGTGAAAGCAACATCTTAACAGCTTTTCTGGAATAAACTGAAATAAAAGCAAGGAGTTATCAATTCATGACATAAACTATAATAGATTTATATAAACCAAAGAGAAATTTTCCCATTTGTGGGTGTCTTCTGGACTATTTTAAAGCTCTACCACAAAGGTGTTATGGCTTGGGTAGTACTATCTGTAAAGGAAGGAGTAATCTTCCAAAAAATTTTTTTAATATTTGCATATTTAAATATTTGAACATACAAGTATACACATAATGCTGCAATCAGTTCTTTTGGTGGGGTGGCCACCCATTTGCTAAATTCTCTCGAAGACTCTTTTAGAGGAAGGCGTATGCTGAGATATTTTATCACAGGACTAGAGCAGGGCAAGGAAAAACTAACTGCCTTAAGTACATTAAATGTGGCTTCCAGTTTAACCACAACTCTTAGCTTCAATATGCCAAGACTTCAAAAAACTCTCATATTATACAAACCGTAAATTGCATATAAATTAATAGTCAAGAATGTCTCAACTTATGTTTTACTAATCTACTTTTTCACAAGGCAGTTTTTTTCAGATAGACCAGGTAGTCATTTTTAAATTGATGTTCTTCACCTGCAATAAGTTAGGTCAAAGAAAGGAATAATTAAAGACATTTATTAGTATCTTAAGGATACAATTTTAAAATGTGTCCATAGCCTTCATCAGATCTTAAGGCATTATTAAACTAAAAAAAGTTAGGAACAACTGCTCTAAAATAAATACAAGTACGTGCTTTTAACATGTGAAGGCTAAATGCTCTCACCTCAGTGGATGCAGGATAATTTTTGGCTGATTACCTGGTTTTAAAATTGTTTTATTTTAAAAAATATAGTATAAGATTAATGTTTGTTAGCATGCATTTCAACACTACAAAAACCTAGTGTGTTTCTACCATAGCGACTTTCATTCCCAGACCATAATCAGGCATTATTAAAAATAAAGCAAAAAGGGCTGGCCAAGTGGCTCAGTTGGTCAAGAGTGCGAGCTCTGAACAACGGCAGTTCCATTCCTGGCCAGAGCTGAGCTGCCACTAGATGACAGGATGGCTCAGCTAAAAAAAAAAAAAATAAAAATAAAATAAAGCAAAAAATCACCCCTACACATCTAAGGAACATCTACATTGAATTACTTGTCTTTCTGGCAATGAATAATATATATTATTTTTTAGCTTTTTATTTTGAAGTAATTATAGATTCACAGGAGTTGCCAAAACAAACAAACAAACAACAACAAAAACCCAGGGCGATCCCATGTACCCTTCCCCCGGCTTCCCCAGCAGCAACAGCTTGCTTAACACCGAAGCAGAACTAGAGCACAACATCGAAACCAGGAAACTGACATCGGTCAAGTCCACACAGCTTATTCACCTTTCATCACTCATTTGTTTGTGTGTAGTTTCCATGCAATTTTGTCACATGTGTAACTGCCACCAGATACAAAAGTGTTCCATCACCACAGGGCTCCTTCATGCTAACCCTTTATAGCTACACCACTCACCACCATCTCGAACCACTGGCAACCACCAATCTGTTCTCCATCTTTACAATTCTGTAATTTCAAGAGTTATGTAAATGGAATTACATAGTACATAAACTTTTCAGATTGGCTTTTTTCACTCAGCATAATACCCTTGAGATCCATCCAAATTGTTGTATCAATGGTTTGTTCCTTTTTACTGCTACATAGTATTCCAGGGCAAGGATGAACCAGTCTAAGCATTCACCCGTTGAAGGACATCTGGGTTGTTTCCAGGGTTTGGCTGTTACAAATAAAGCTGCTCTGAACATACACGTGCAGGTTTTTAGGTGAATATAGGCATTCATCTCTCTGGGATAAACCCCGGAGTCAGGGCTGTATGGCAGTACATAATCAGTTTTATAAGACTGATGAACTATTTCCCAGAGGGCTTACAGGAATTATCCTTTTCTTGTTACTCTTTTTCATAGTTGTTCTAGCTACTCTAGGTCCCTGGCCTTTCCATACTAATTTTAGAATAATGCTGTCTATGTCTACAAAAATGTTCCAGGGCTTTTCATAGGAACTGCATTAGATCTACAGATCAATTTGGAAAAAACGGACATCTGGACTATGTTGCTTCCCATTCACAAACATGGTTTGTCTCTCTATTTAGGTCTTTGAGTTCCTTCATTAGCATTTTGCAATTCTCAGCATAAATTATTTTTGCAATGAGTGTTTTGTTAGATGCACACATTTTCTGTGGCATGATTATAAATAGTATTGTTTTAAATTTGTCTCCACATATCTGTTAATATACAGAAATGCAATTGATTTTTTTTGTAATCTTGTATTTTGTGATCTTGCTGAATTTATTATTGGTTCTAGGAATTTTCCTGTAGATAGCTTCAGATTTTTCATTGTAGGCAATCATGTCTTCTGCAAACTGAGGTGGTTTTATTTCTTCCTTTCTAATCCGTATGCCTTTCAGTACTACGTTGAATAGAGTGGTGAGTGTACATCCTTGCCACGTTTCCGAGCTCACGGGGAAAGCATTCAGTCTTTCACCATTAAGTATCTTAGCTATAGGTTTTTTGTAGACACTGTTTATCAAGCTGAGAATTTTCCCCTCTATACCTAGTTTACTGAGAGCCAGCAAAGAGTAACATTTTAATGTAGGGCAAAGTAGAGATTTATGAAGAAAATAACTCAAGTTTTTTCATATTCATAGGCATGCAGACACTTTTCACAACTGTATAATCTCCATTAAAAGCTGAATTGCACATTGTAGAGAGTGTATACAGATGGTTTGTTTACATTCCCCAAAACTGGTTGCACTGACTCTACATCCAAGCCTTTGAACCGCATTAATATGGAGCCATGCTGTAAGTAATTTAACTCTCAGTGATGTCTACTGCATATCAACTTACCAAATAGTAATTAATGCAGAGACTGGACAGTTCATCTTTGAAATAGTTTGTCTATAAACTAGGAAGCATGTAATACAGGGGTTTTCAGTTCCAGAGATGTACCATCCTAAGAAGCCTCTAAATCTCAACTGAGATGGCAAAGTTTTCAAGACTAAATTTAATTCATTTTAACTTGAAAATAACTTAAACATTTTAGTGAAGTAGGAAAAAAAGTCATAAACAATGTCAGGGTTTTATAACAACTGAAATGTATCTGTATCTGTGATCTAAGGAACAGTTTTCCCATTTTAGAGTTTCTATAATGAAGAGATCTTTAAAGCATACTTTAGTTTTGCTTTCTAAAGCAGAGTAAGCTCTTTCCCAATGCTGCTTTGGGATCCCCTCCTCCCCACCCCAAGTCACTTGGAGCCTCACTACAAGCAGGCCACCCACAAGGCAAGCAGCAAGGCACCCATCAGTTTCGGCAGAGCCTGATCTCTCCAGAGCAAAGGCACGGCGCGTGCCTTACCCCAACAGGCCAAGATTCCTTCCCCTGCCTGCCCTGCCACTGTCTAAGCTGATGTAACAAGCAGCAATAAGGAGTCTTCCACTATGCACACTGCTGCACTGGACTGTACATTCCTGAAAGCCCACAGAGGCAACTGAATCAATAGCTCACTGAGCGTGACCTAGCCACCCTTCTCTCCCCAGATCCTTAGATGTGACAGAAAAGGTACATAGCAGGTAGGGTCAGACTGGAAGAGGAAACTAGAGCCCCAAAACCCACCCGGCAGGAGTTTCTGGGGTATTTCTTTCTAGAAGACACACACTGGAAACAAAAAGGAATTGCACCAAGACAACCCATAGCAGGATTAACTCCTATCACTCAGTAACTCACCATGCATGAATGAGCAGAAACCTGATCCAGGACGGAGGAGTGACTGTGGGCATTAGGGGCAGAGGTGTGCTGACAGTCTGTGAATTAGTAAGACCAGACATCAGGACATCCCATGTGGCCACACCTTGCTCCTCTCCCACATTCACGGTAAGTAAACTACATTACTCAGGCATCATACTCACAGACAGATACGAGGAAATCTCAAAAACAGATAAACACACAACTAACAATCCCTAAGCACCTAGGCAAAATGAGCATACCATGAGAAACCAGTGCATCAAACAAAAGAATACACAAGAAAACCCACTAATGGAACACTCCCACAAGTATTAAACTATGTGTCACAGAATGAATGAATGAAACGAAAATAAAATTAGTCTCACTTCAAACTTTGCACTGGCAACTTTAGAGGCAGAAAGACAGGGAAATATCTTCAAAGTTGGGAGGAAGATGATTTTGAAAATGTATTTCTATACCCAGCCAAATTACCATTCACATACAAGTATAAGACAATACTTGTATCTGATTTAATTCTATTTTATGGATGAAGAAATGAAGAAGAGGGGTCAAGTACACACTGTTCAATGTCACAATTAATAAATGGTTCCAATGCCCAAATTCTTCACATTGCACTGTAATGTTCATAGGGCCTTTCCACTATGGGTCTCAAACAGTCTTCACAGGAAGGAGATGATTAATCTAAGAAGATAGGACGAATATTCAGACCTTAAAAAAAATTACAATAAGCAGATGAGATTACCTTAAATGACAACTTACTCATTTTCCTTTGTGCTGGCAAATATACTTTAAATATTTCACATTTAAAGGGTAAAAAACCCAATTGCCAGCTTTAAGGTTTTATGCATAGCATTCATAAAACCCAATCTGTTACAACACATTTCATAGAAATTCTCTTAGAATTATTTTTAGATAAATAACTGATTTGACCAACTACACTAAGTAGAATTCAAATACTGGAAGGTAACCTACCTACTGCGGGTGCGTCATACTCATCACCAAGCAGAATTTCTGGAGCAGAATATGCAAGAGATCCACAGCTCGTAGTGAGTTTCTTCCCTGGTTGAAATTTGTTGCTGAAACCAAAGTCTGTCAACTTGACAAGACCTTGTTTTTCAAAGAAGACTACATTCTCTGGTTTTAAGTCTCTGTGAACCACATGGAGTTTATGGCAGTAAGATATAGCATGAACTATCTGAGCAAAGTACTTCTTGGCTAACTCTTCATTAAGTCCTTCCTCGTGTTTCATGATGTAATCGAACATATCTCCTCCATCCCCAAGTTCTAGGATAAGGTATAGTTTGGTCTGGGTGTCAATAACTTCATAGAGGCGAACAATGTTGGGGTGCTGCACTAGTTTCATGCACCTCACTTCTTGGAAAAGATGACCAGTAGCTAGTGTGTCCAATTTTGTCTTGTCAATAACTTTGACTGCCACTTTTTCACCTGTAAAGACATGCCTGGCAAGTTTAACCACTGCAAAGTGACCTCGACCCAAGGTTTTATCCAGATCATATAATCCAGCAATCTTTCCATCATACCCTCGCTTGAATCCTGCCATGCTGGTCCGACAGAAGAAACAATATTTAGACTGTTTGAAATGGATCTTCTCATATAAGAATATCTGGTGAAAATAAGGAATTCATTTTCAATGTTGCCATGGACACCTATAAAATAAGAGGAGAAACAAAATTAAGATTCTGTGACTTCTCCTTCTATAGCTTCATTTAAAAAAAAATTAAGAGAAGCTTGAAGCAAATAAATTAAAACATAAAATGAGGGTCATTTATAATAGCCTGTTTATTTAGGGTTCACATGATACAGGTTGAGAATTTAAATACCATATTAAATTTTACAAACTGCAAAACAATTACAATAGTTTGTTAAAATATTTTCTGGTGATATCAAAAATAAGAAAACTAGCAAGTTTGATAAGCTATGTTTAAAAAAAAACATTTTCCAAAAGTAATTTCAATTAGTGTCTTTAAAAAAAAAGGCAAGACTTGACAAGAAAGGGAAAACACAAAGAATAAACACTTGGACAGAAACCCAACTTTTCCTGTTATTCCAAGCCTAGCACTATTTCCTATGAATAATAATAAAAAAGAATTCCTTTGGTGAAGCCTTCCCTTACTCTCCCAGCTGGAATTCCCTTCCCACTCTGTATCCCCTTGGACACCTCCATCCCCATGGTCTTATTCTACAGGTTTTTATATATGCCATCTCCATTCTGAGACTACAAGGTTCTTGAGGTCTCCAAGGTTCTAGTTTTTTTTCTTCTACCCTCCTCCAACATCCAGAACAATGTTTCACATATAACAGGTAATCAAAATTTTGTTAAATTTTAAAATGCAACTTTTTCCCAAAATGTTTACAAGGCAATTGTTTGCTCTTGTGTCACTGGTGCCTATAACAGTACCTGGCACAGTAGGTGCTTAATAGATATTTGCTGACTGACTGATACTCATTATACTTGTTATTATAGTTATGCTTAACTTTATTATGGTTTTTCAACTCTCAAACAAAACCCACCATGATCAGCTTGTATTTCAAGAATAAACAAGCATGCATTCTTAAAGTATTTAAGTCTTAAAGACCAATGTCATATGGCATTTAAAATTCTCCATCTTTATAATATGTACTCTAAATATAGAAATAGGTTCTTATAAATGATCCTGACTCAGAAAAACAAATAAATGTATAAAATTATACACATTAAGATGTCACTTTAAAACACACAGACTGAACTCCCACTATTATTTTCTCACATCAAAATTTATAGAATTAAATAACAAAATCAAATGAGGACTACAGCTATCTCCCAAGGCTAGCTCTTCCCTATTAGTGCATCTTCATCCCTTCGGTAGAGCCTTTTCTAATGCTCTCAGTAGACAGTAAAAAATAATACCTGAAAATGTGAAGCTAAGAACAGTACTTATATTGTTTCTGAAATTAATTTCAGAAACCAAAACTAAATTGTTAATTCTGTTTCTATTAGGATTTTTAAAATAAGAAACCAGTACTATGAACAAGTATTGGGGAAAGAAAATTATTTTCTTCTATCCTGTGTATTAGCCTTGGCATCCAAGCTAATAATTTTAATGACAAGATTAACAAGAAATTCCAACTGGAAAGATATTGCTTCCTTTGGACAGTTCTCTAAAAGGATGTGTAATTCAGGCATATTTAATTTTCAACTCTAAGCTAACTCCAGGGGGCAGAAAACTATCTTTAACTTCAATTAATTATAAAAGGGCAGTAATTATTCTTAAAATTCTACCCAAATCTATGTTTTTATTGTACAAGTTTGCAAATGCAACTTTAGTTTTCAAAACAAACTTCTTCAGGCTGCCCCCAAGTTATATAATATTTGTTTTTCTCATCTATCACTTTAGTTTAGAAGTATTCCTGGAAAGTAGCATATAAATCAGATTTAAGTTGGTTTAAATTTTTATTTAATTAATTAGTTTTTAAATTTTTGGTTTACTGCAGAAGTAATAAATTAATATACATATAAGGGAAAAGTATTTTTCTGGGACTCAGACACTATTATCACTTTGACTTTTCTCTTCTCAGAACTGTGCCAGCTAAAGAGCACTATGAAATAATTTTTGATCTACTATCAAGTTCATGGGAAAGAATCTTGTAGGGTCTCTTCAAAATGACAGACTACCCTGTAGTGAAATGACTAATCACTCTCACTATCAAGGAACTCTTTTGTACTTTTTTTGTACACACACCCCTTTTTCAGTGTTTATGAAACTACAACTGTATACCTAAAACCATTATGATGTTATGATTAACTAAAGGTTGGGAGGGAAAATATCCTTGTTATTGAGTATCTTTTAAAATACTAGTCCACTGTCTAATCTTACTATCAAGTGTATTTTGAGTTACACAGGAAGTAATTAAATCATATTTTTGATCTTTGAGGATCTTGCAGTGCCTGAAAATCATTGTAAACATCAATGCCAAATGTTAAGATGTGGCTTATATAAAATAAAGGTGACTTTGTACTGGCTCCAAGACATACCCTGCAAACTGCATACTGAATAATCCTTGTTATTACTGTGTCTTGTTAGGTGCTTCTTTCTCCTAAAAGAAAACACAGAAAAAGAATTTTTGTTTAGTTCTACTTGTTTTAACTTTGCTTAAAGTCAAAATATATACCCTAAGACTGAATCCAGACAAACGATTACAAATGGCACGTTCGTCTTTAGTGACCCAGTCTCCCACTGTCTTTCTCCCCTCTGTGAATCACAACCCACTCCAGGGATCTTTAGTAGGTAGGAATTTCAATGAACAGATACCCAGAGATTGTTCCAGGTAGACAGGTCAGAAAGGCTATTCCATTGGAAGGAGGATGAAACAATAATAATGAACAATAGTAAATTCACCATTTTCTAAACGCCTCCTGCATTTCACAGAATCCTTCCTTGCAGCACAAGGAGGCTCAAAGTTGAGCAAGAAGCAGAGTCTGTGGCTCCAAACCTGCTCCTTGTGGCTTCCAAGCCCAACTTGTCGGCAGGAGCCCCCAGGCTCATGAAACACTGACTCCAATAGCCGAGGAGGACAACCTTTCCAGCACACTGTCCTCTAGCAGGCCAGGAGAAACCGATGCTAATGCCACCACCAGGGACCACAAAACACCTTTGCATTAGAGGCTTCCATTTAATAGGAAAGAAGAAACTATCAGTGTGAACAAGGAGAATGAGCAGATCATGGTACCTAAATTCATGGCGCAGGGAGGGCACGCTGACTGGAGGTGGCCCTGCAGCCCTTCCCAGGACCGAGATGCCACACAAATAATTAGAGGCCTAAAGATTCATACCAGGCCAGAGGCAATTTACACAGACCACTGAAGGGGAGTGGCCAGGTCATCAATCATTAAGCTCAAGTTCACATGAGCGTGGGGGAAAGGAGTGCAAAAACAGCCAGGAAAGGTGAAAGAAGGCAAGGTGGATGTGAAAACAAGCTTACTGCTGGGAGTGAGGAGCAGTGGAGACAGTTCTGCAGCACAAACCGGGCCAGCAACATCATGGGCACAGGCCCACACCTAGGGACAGGTGAGCCCTGGGATGCCTACCTCGTCCTTCAGCTGCAAGTTGGATACAGCAGTTCTTCCCATCACCTGTGACTGCTTCTCTTTCAACAACCTGTTTCATCTACAGCCTCTCTGGCACGGCAGTGTGGTAGTCCAGTGTGGGTGACCATTGGTTCTGAAGGCCAATGACTGGGTTTGAACCCCAGCTCACCAATCACTAGCCAATGGGACCTACACAAAACCTGATGTCTCTGTATGGTCAGTTTCCTCATTAGAAATTGTTAGTTGTAAGAGTAGAACCTCATGGGTTCTGGTGAGAATTATGGGGTTGTCGGAAAAATCATGAAGTATTTTTTCTATGTTTTTCATTGCAAAAATGCATCATGACTTTTTCGACAACCCAATAAATGAATTAATAAAGTGTTTGGCATAAAACCTGGCACACAGTAAGCATTCATTAAATACTAGCTACCACGACCAACATCACTGTTTTAATGGTGGTAGTCTCGCTCACGCAAGTAGAAATTCTTTTAGTCTTCTACTTTACTTCAAGAAAATTAATTTACTGAGCTATTACCTCTCTTTGGCTTTCATAAAAATTCTACTGTTCATTTTCCTAAAATATGTTAAATTGAAAATAGGTGCTATAAGGTTGATAAAGGAAATAACGTCTCTAGGTAAGCATCAAAGTCTGATGACTTTTCAATAAAACACTGCACAAAATCTAAGCATTTGCTTTTCAAATGATATTAAGATGACTCTCTATCAAATCTATCCTTTCAAAAAAGGACTAAATATTCCTTTATATTTTTCCCATCAAAATAATAGTCTTACAGAAAAATCTCAAAAATACAAAATAGAATGTAGAAAGAATAAAGAGGCACCCCCAATCCTACCACTGAAGATGAGCACTACTCATATTTTGGTGGTCTTTCTGCAAAATTCATATACAGCTTCTTCTTTATTTTGCTTTACAAAGGTGTGATCATTCTATAATTAACTTCATATTCGTATCCTGCTTTTTTACTTTCTTATCACTTTCCTTTTAGTATTTTTTTTCAATTATGAAAGGAGTATCTATACAATGTAGGAAAACATATAATTAGAACATATAGATTTGCGAAGAGGAGAATTTTTTTTTAATTCATCCGTTATTCTACCCTCTGTGATAATCTCTGTTAACATTTTGGTGCACAGCCTTCCAAATTATATTCTATGTATAATATATGCCCAAACACAAATATTTAAATAAAAAGGAACACACACATACACACCCACGTGAATACATGGCGGGGGGGGGGGTGGTGTACCCATTTTAAAGTATTTCTCCCCACAAAGCAATACAAGTTCATTTTAGAAAATTTGGAAAATGCAGAGAAGCACAAGAGAGGTAAAAAACCCCACCTGTGATATCATCGAGGGGACCTCTCTTCAGGTTTGGTGTACGTTTATCCTTTATACCTATGCTTCTTTACAAAACTAAGCTATTGCATATGAAGTGTGATAACTCCTTTTTCCTCTACATGATGAATGTTTTTCCATGCACTAAGTTATCCTAAATCAGTATTTTTAATGACTACATAGCTAAGATGACATCTTTTGAAGCAGGCAAATCACTAAATTAGGCCATTCTAACGCAGTCTTCCTGAGTGGCATATGCTCACACATGTATGTAACTAGGCTGGACCTAAATGAAGCAGGCCAAGTAGTCAGGAGTGTTTATAACATGGAAATTCATGTTTGAGAAACAAGTACTAGTATGTGTTGCAAGAATATACTGATGCTCTCCCAGCTAAGAGGGCAGAAGCAACTGAAGTGTGCGGGTGTGGCTAGAGAAGAGGAAGGAAGTGTGGGTGGCCCGACACACATTTTGCAAGCTGCTGAAAACAGTTGTAGAGCCAGCCTCTGTTAAACCTACTGTCATTTTGGAATTCACACTGTTAGTCTTGTCAAAATTCACTTTTAGCTTTTCATTGACATCATCACCACGGCAGTGTGGTCTGTAATCAAACAAATGTCTCCTACTCACCCCCCCCCCAGGAGAAGTGAGGGCAACATGGCACGCGGAACAAAGGTGGCTCCGCTGGGATACCCATTAGGAACCAAACCATGGCATGAGAAAGGAGAAGTGTTGACCAGAAGGGGCCATGTGCGGAAAGCAGGCCACTTCTACAGCTTCTCTGCATTCTGTCTGGGATATTATAAACGGCCCCACAAAATCAGACCACTAATATTCACATGTGCAAAATGCTCCCAAACAAAGGACACGCTTTAAAAAAAATAAATAAAAATCTGTGCCCTCTAATACAAACAACTAAAAGATGAGTTTTTGCAAAGCCATACTAAAATTAGATTTAAGCTTCTTACACATGGAAATTATCTGGTATGTTTTAGAAATATCAAAGAATGAAAACTGTAATTCTTACTCATGGGAGATATCAGACTAAACTGGATGTCTGTAGAAAAGCCAGCTTAAGTGGACTCCTCAGTGAACATCACCACCCTGACCTCATTGCTAAAATTTCAAGGATAACTATAACAAAACTGGCAGAGGCTGAAAGGCAGACAGTAGACGAAATCCTCCAGGAGTCTCAATAACCTCCAGGTCAAGCAAAATAAGCACAACCCTACATGCGGTCACCGCTGCTATTCTCTTTATCCAAATAAACAATGTTCCACTTTTCTAGAATAGCGCTCCTGCTCTTAGAATAGCACTTCACCTCCTGGCAGTTATCAATATACGCTGCAAATCAAAGATGAAGAAAGCACAAACAGGTAACAGGTCCGAGGTTATGGAAAATTCCAGGTTTTCACTGGATTGGATGAATATTACTTACTATGTGGCTATCATATAGTATCAGTCTGCAGTCACTAGATGGAATTAAGATGGAAACTACATATTAAAAAGTTAAAGTGAATTATTTATTATGAGGAATGTTCTAATAGGCAAAACTGTACCTCCAAATGACTAAGAAAGTATTTTCCAAGGGAAGGTAAGTGCCTAATAAAGTATGTTCTGAAAGTTTCCTTCCAAGCAGTCAATTTTAATGGACTCGGGGCCACCGAGGTCACCAGGAATGCCAAGCTGAAAGCCTGCACCAGTCTCTCAAGGCAGTGACTGGGCTGCCAATACAGATCAATCCCTGGAAGTGCTGGTTTAAGTGATCTTAGTCTCCGCTAAGTAAAACAAGCTAGAGTCCACATATTATGTATCATGGAATTTGAACGTGTTCAGGAGTCAGGCGACTTATTCACCAACCTAGAGTAGTACTTAATATACAGCATTTGTAGAGAAAGGGGTTAACATCCAAGCCACAAAACTTGGACCAACAGCACAGATAATAGTTCAAATTCCTAAACAGAATTGCCTCTCGTTAAAGTGATAAAAAATGCCAAACGCATCACTATGTCTACCTGAGGGTAAGTGAGACTTAAAAATTATTAGGATGGTGACAGCTCTAGTATAAAATGCTCACAGAATAAATAATGACTTAAGCAAAAGTTGGTGTGTGGAAATTACACCAAAATAACAAAAGGCAACCCACAATTACTTCTTTACTAGAGAAACAGAATATAAGTTGGAAATTATGGAGAATTTAAGAACTAATAATCTAAACCTCTCTTCCAAAGCTTTTATCAACACTTTCTAAACTCACTTAAATTCCCTATCATCTTTTTCACCCGCAGATATTGTGATGACAGTGGTCATTAAAATATGGTCCAAAAAGTATGCTGGAACAGAAAAGAAAACTAATCCCTAAACAAAAATACTGGCACCTAATATTTCATTGACTTTGACTGAAAAGACAAAGTCATTTGGGGATTCCCTTACCCTGTTGGGACTGTAAATTACCTTTCAGAAAAGCAATCTCGCAGTATGTGTATCAAGAGCCTTAAAATAATTAATACCCTTATTAATTAATAAATAATATTACTACTAGTTATATCTTAATGAAATAAAGACATGGACAAATATTTATATACAACAATGTTCAGTATATTTACATATGCAAAAAAAAAAATGAGAAATAACATAAAGGTCTACAATAAG